TTCGCTGCCTCATCCTTTACTGAAGTTAGGATTTGCTGTCAAATCAGGAGGCAACAAATTAAAAACTAACAGCAGTTCTTCACCCATCATGGAAGAAAGTTGGGGAACTTCTGCTGCAGAACCTCACAGAGGTTTATCGTTTGCAAAGATCCAAGAGGCAACTGGACAGTTTCACAGAAGCATCACTCATCATTGAGTTGAGTCAATGAGTCCATTGACTATTGGAAACAAGCCTGTTGTCCTCTCAGAAGCACCCAGGTTGCAACCACTGGAAGGAGGGAAGGAAGTGCCTTGGTCTAAGAGGAGGAGAACATATTCGCCTTCCATGGTGCACCGTTCCATCTGATGTTGGCGTATTCCTCGCGCCACCCTCCTTGCTGCGGCAGGCTGTAAGAAGCAGGGGACAGTGGCGGTCTCCTCGCCCTGAGCTGTGCTCCTCACCGGGTACCACAGGTCAGGGGCAGTTGCAACAGGACCCCGGTGCTAACTCGCTAGCACGGCTGATCTTACAGACCAGAGAGCCCCCCAGGAACAGATCCCAGCCCATTAAGAGCTTAATCTTGGTTCTTGCCTTTCTGCCCAGCCTGCCACAGCTCGACACTGCAATTCATGCTCTCCAACAGCTACTGCCCCTCAAAGCCAGTCCCTTCTGCTCCCCTGAGGCAGAGGCACGCAGTGTCCGAGGGACCAGGCAGCTCATCTCAGCACCCTGCAGCCCCTTCACCCGCTCGATGCAGCAGGTCTGTGGTCGGGCTGAAGGTGCCTGTGGCAGATGAAGGATTGCCAGCAGAAGGCCTTTAGCACAACACACGTCCAGGCACACTGGATCCTCTGCAACAATGCCCTCAGCCTCTGTCAGCTTGTGCATGGACCAAGGACAGAAGTTCTTGAGTCTTTCTGTTGGCCAGCCAACGGTTGGTGATGGAAACTACAGAAAATTGCCTTGCCACTCTGGAAAAGGTGCCTTGGGAGTCCTCATGGGCTGTAGCTCACAGGTGCTGCAGGAGCTGCCAGCACTTGGCAGCAGCCTTCAGCAGGGTCTGCAGCATCCTCTGCCCCGCAGTCACCCAACCACAACCCCCTCGTGCAGCAGGGTCTGCCCTGCCCCCTGGCCTCCCCCCCGCACCGCACAAAGCTGGGAGGGCACGCTGTGGCACCGAGCACCAGCCAGAGGAACGCCGCCGGTGCGCCTCGCAGCAAAGACCAGGAGGGGCAGACAAAATCGAGATGCCACAGTGGTGAGAAGCCGGGGAACTACGTAACAGAGGACACGACACAACTCAAGGCAGTTCCCACGAATTCAGTAATTTCTGTTTCCTCCTCCCAGCACTGAGCCAGACCTTGAGAAACAGGAAAACATTGCCAGTCTCAGCTCTTGTTTGCTTCACTCCTTCATCATGCTGGAGCTCCCCCGCACGTCTTCAAGCATGTTGCTACTCTATATTTACCCTGTGAGAACCATTCTCACCAGCTCTTACCTGAGCAACCAGAAACTTTCAGCAATAAACTAAGTTGTTCATATATTCTGTTTTTCTTGTGCTATATTTGCAAGCAGGGTAGCAACGTCTCAAGCAAATCAAATCAGACCCCATGAGAGCCCTCTGAAAGCTGCCCTGGGGTTAGTTTCCCACCACGACACACATACAGTACCTCTCCACCTGATGTAGCTAGATGTAGTATCGCTCAGAGCTGACTTACATCCCACTTGTGACAAGTGCAACTAACTCAGGGCACAGGCACGACCTCCTGACAGCACTGCTTGCAATAATCTGAATTTGAATGTGTGCAGAACATAAGAAGTTGGTGCTTCTCTGTCTCTCTCAACATAATGATTGAACATAATCATTCTATGATTCTATAAAAGTAATTTAAACTAGAAGGTCTTGCCCTCCCAGCAAGATATGAGATACTGGACGGTCCACATTTGCCCCACCATCTGCACACAAAAGCAGCAACTTGAGAGTCCTTGTCATGGGCAAGGGCCCACTGTGCCAACAGCTGTAAAAACAGCATTTTAACAGGTACTCATGTTCTTTTACTTTAAAAAAAACTTCTGAGAGCTCATACCAGTTAGCTTAGTGTAGGCTTCCATGTCATCCATTGCTGTCGATATCTGGTACGATTTTCCTCCAGAGCCTTGTATCTCAAAATATTTGTCTGCTTTTTCAAAGGCTTCTGTAATCCTAGTTTGAGACAAAGTTAAGACTTAAGGATGGCATCATTTTGAAACACCTTATTGCTCAAGAGTCAAAAAAGAAATGCTTTAGCATGTTATAAATGGAAGCCAGCAGATGAAACTGCACCCCAAGCACACGGCAGGCCCTGGTCGCCCTGCGATACATCCCGTCCCCACGCTGCCACTGCACATTTCAACAGAGTCTTTCCATTTACTGAAAGCAGGTGCAGATCAGATCTTAACTTTCTTCCAAGGAACAAGCAAGTCCACTCTGTTCTGCTCAGACTGTGAGTTTAACACGGCTTAGGTGACTGCAGAACCCTGCAAGACAGCGACGTGGCCGCCCAGCTGCAGGAGGCTGCCTCCCAGGTGACCACATCCTTTTACAGACTTGTTGCTCCAGGAGTCAATCGAGAGAACACAAAGCACTGTTAAGGCAAAGTCTCATGAACACGTGGTATTTTCAGGTGGAAAAACTGATGTTCTAAAGATCACGTTCTTCCAGAGTCTCCTGTACCTTGTTGTCATTTCCAGCTGTACGCTCATTTCAATACACTGCTCTCATTATGGTAAGCCAAAAACTAAATTTCTTGGCTGTTTTGCTCCTCACACATCGGTTCTGTCAAGCCTTAGCATTTTTAGTCTGAGTTTTAGAGGATCATTAAACCAGGAGCTGAAGTTTACAAAATGAAAGCAGCCACAAATTACACTTGTACTGTGTAAACATCCATGCTCCTTTTTTCCAAACTCACCAGATGCTTATTTGGCAGCCAAGATCCTAATGAAAAAATATTTACGGATACTAGTATTTCTGCTTTTCAAGAGAGGTAAAAAGAATAATGCTATAGGAAAACTTCTATAGACATCAACAAGAGAGGTACAAATGCAGGGTGGTCCTGAACAATTCCTGCGTAACCCTGCTCATTGCTTTACTCTGTTAGTAACCCTGCTCATTGCTTTACTCTGTTAGTAACCCTGCTCATTGCTTTACTCTGTTAGTAACCCTGCTCATTGCTTTACTCTGTTAGTAACCCTGCTCTACTGGCCAGCCAGTTTGAGCTAAGTGGTCTCTAACTTGTAGATAGAGATTTGACTTCAGCTGCCAGCAGTTAAAACAGCACAAGCACACCCTGGTCCTACACTTCTTCAGGGCTTAGTAATTTTCCTGTTTGGAAGGATTTCTCCAATTTCCTCATGGGGAAGGATGCTGTCGTCCTCCTTTCGGTTTTTTGTCATTATCACAGCCTCTATCATACTCTGAGCACTGAGCCTTGCCACAATCATCGGGTTATCCAGCCCAGTGGCTTTTATTCTATGTCACATCTTATTGATTATCTGAATATTCCAAGTGGATATACAGTTTCAAGAATTTAAAAATAAATGGAATGCAAGAAAAGAAAAGTATAATACTTGCATTATTTCAATGATGTTGCCAACCTTATGCTGGTACGCTCGCCGGTGCAGGCAAATCCGCGTGTGGAACATATCATACAAATTTCCAACTTCCTGAATCAAAAAAACCCAGTCATCTTTTACTTTTCACATTGTTTCCATTGGAAAACTAAAACAGTCAAGGAATCAAACAACTTGTCTCCTTCCGTTTGCAGCACAGAGCAGAACGGTTGTTTTTCACAATTTACAAATTTTGAAGCAGACCACGTGCGGGAGGGCTGAGCCCTGCCAGCGGCCCAGGCAGCCCGGGCAGAGCAGAGGACCCGTGGCTGCTTTCGCAGCCCCTCTGCAAAGCCCCGCTCACCTCCTGCTCGGAACACGCCGCGCAGGATCACGCGCAGCAGACGGTTTTGCAGCCCCCCCGAACGGACCCGCCACAAGCCCTTGCCAGCAGCGGCTTTCTTCTCCCCCCCCCCCCCTTAACCGAGAGCAGCTCCCAGGGCAGCAACTTCATCTTCCTCTCTGGGCTGAAAAGTGTCGGGCAGGCAGCCCCGGCACCCACCGCGATCCGCGCGCCGCGGTGCCACACCGCCTGGGCAGGCTCTGCCATGCCCCGTGTCTTGCAGCGTGCCGCGGTGCATGGGCAGGCTCTGCAGTGCCTTGTGTTTCACAGTGCACCACAGTGCTGCGGTGCCCGGGCAGGCTCTGCTGTGCCCGTGTTTCGCAGCGCGCCGCAGTGCCGGAG